TCGTGATCCTGCATATGCCTTCCAAAAGCACTAGTGGGATCAATTCACTGCACCAAGCTTTGCTAGATACTTGGAAGAAGAAATGCAACTGGAAACAGAAGAAGAAGCAAACAGAATAAGGAATCTACCTGAGTGCCGATGCCAGCATTGAGGCCTATGGCTTCAAGCCAAGCGTGACATCATGAAGCAAATGGACCACAATTGGGGCCAGCGAGGTGCACAACCCAAAAATTGAGGGAACCGATCGTCTGTTAAAAGTTCACAAAGATAAGATCATTAAATATCTTGGAAAAGCATCGACTTCTTTTCAAAAGAAACCCTCCAATTAGCATAAATAAAACTTATATCAAGGAAAATGAAGCATTTAGTAGCTCGGAGGACTTTGTTCCTAACTTCCAATAAATTCTGTTGGAAAACAGAACAGCATCTAAGTTTCGAGAAAATGGTTTTACATGCAGCACTTTCCCCTCTCTAAAGTGTTCTTGTTAGTCTTCTTCAGTCCGTTCTGCTAGCTTCTCTTGAAGTAGAAGTGCAATGAATCTCATTACGGTTCAATTTGGCAACATTTCAGCTATGAAAAGAGCTTTGCAGTTCGGAGTTACACCAGCATGACTTCCTGTATCCTTTCTGTTTGCTTTTCGAAATTGTATTCTTATAAGATGTTATGACTAAAGGAGTTTATTTTAGACCCAAAAAAGATTCCTTCTTTCACATTCATATACTCAGATAAACAATCTTTGTTGCTAAGAGTAATGACACCACCTGCATATTTTTGACCTTTCAAACAACTTCTCAAGTGTGACAAGGTGCTAAATGCGCAAGCAAATATTATTAGGAACCCCTGAGAACCAGCTATCTTGGGAAAATGAAACTAAATGAGCCTTGGCAGGCAGATAATTGAGAATGAGCGCAGCGAGAACGCCACACTAGGTGTGGTAAAAAGCATTGCCTAATCAGTAACTACTAATCATTGATAGGAGAACCCCTCGACATAAGAAATTCTTGTAGGTATGTAGATACACAAGGGGAATGATATAAAGCCTCTTATTCATCATTCACAGAGGCTGTTTACGAAAGGCAGCTCACCTTTTACTTAGCCTAAGAATGTAGATAGTGATACCATTTGCTTCCTGCAACACATCGCCAAGGTCATTTAAGAGGTAAGCTTTGCCACCCGAAACACAAGTTTAACTTGTCAGATAAGGTGCTCAAAGGATATTTTGTTTACTCCTCTCGATAAGACGAAAATGCCCGAAAAAGAATCTTGAAGTGCCCTCACTGATACATGGGGATTAAACGTTGAAGTTTCGTGTTCCAGTAGCATTTCAAGTTGCGCGGAAAAAAATGCTGGACGATCGTAGTAAGCACTATATGTTGCGCATGGATGCACGAGGAATGACACAGAAGTATGTGATCGTATGCATATTTTTAAGCAAACATATTCCAAATTCTGCAATAGTTTCTTTGGATTAAAGAGGTCAAAGTTCAATCCCTCTGCAGTCCAACCACAAACCATCTTGAGTTTTCTCCTTTCGTAGGATCGACACCTATTTTGACAAATTCAATTCAGTAGTGCATTACCTCACAAGTCAGTAACCGTGTGCTGAGCGACATAGAGCAAATAGTCACGTCGTGATGAACTGTGATGTTCATGTGCCAGGAACAGCATCAATAAAATGGAGAACTTCCTCCAACATCATCCACGTTTGGGTGCTATCCGGCGTGTCTGAGTGAGCGATGTTTAAGAGATGGAGCTTCTTTGAGGTCACAAACACAGCCGAAAAGATTTTTTTCATCCCTCCCCTGGTGTTGTCCAATTTGTACTCAAACTCGTAAACTTGCAAGCCTCCCTGGCCCGATCTCTCCGCCACTCCAATCACTTCAGCGTCTTTTGTACTTTCCTGTTTGTTAAAAAAGGGTTTAAAGCAAATGGAAGCTTCAAGCCAAAGCCACAACTTATCAGACATATCGCTTATAGTTTTGCAGACAGACAGCCTAAAAACCTGAATCAAGCCAATTTTCACTAAGTCATCATCATAAAATATGATATAGGAAAAAAGTCATGGAAACACAATTGACTGCAATTTCCAAATTACACATACAATCATTTGGTTAAGTGAGATAACTATAACTATAACTATACTAACACATCTGATAATAGAACACTGAATGCAGCTGAGCCAGAGTTTTGGTTCAGTTTTCCTCTTAAAATGATTTGGGTTTTAGACCCGCTCATATATCGAAACTAACGGATCCATGTCAGGCGAATATGTTGGTGTAACATGCAAGCCAAATTGACCTGTGACTGGGAGCCACCATGCCTCATAAGGCAGTCGATAACAGAAAGGATCAGTCATCACTTGCCATCACATCTACAGCCCACAAAAATCTCTCTCTCTCTCTCTCTCTCTCTCTCTCTCTCTCTCTCTCTCTCTCTCTCTCTCATCATGTCGATCATCTCTTATGCATTGTATAGACTATTGAGTTCAAATTATTTACTCACCAATGAGTTCATCCATCTTGATTTAGATATGAAGCTAATATTCCCAGCCTTTTGAGTAAGAAATTCATACTATCAGTCTGTCACCATGTCAACTACAAAATATTGACTGTGGAAACTTAAAAAATTTACTGCAGATACTTCACTTCGATGCTTCCTCTTAATAAGACAGCTTCAAGCGTAATATCTACCTAAATCTTCACGGCAGTTCTACCAAAAACCAAATTGCTATTATTATTATTATCTTTTTAAGTTCCTAGAGGACAGGAATATAATCATCGTCATCATCAGCTCTTATAATACCTTTTTTTTTCAGCTCTCACAATACTTTGGTTGGGAGCTTAATGTGAAAAAATAAACCATATCTTTCATCCAGAATTACAACTGGCCTTAACTTTGAAAGATCTCATATATAATCAAATTAACTTGGATTATGCAAAGTGATTTTGGCTATATTACTCACGCCATTCGCTGTAACTCGATCTTCTTCTACAAAAAAATGGATTGTAGTATCTATTGGGAAAATATCAACGTGAATTGGGAAAAACAATGAAGTCAGACTTTGAGGCGTGATATCACTTTTTTCAAGGAATTATTTGCCTCACAAAGTTGCTAATGGTCACTGGCAAAAATCCTCCAAGATACAAAAAAGTCTTAATGATTTTACTAGATAGCAATTCTGGTATTTCTTCAGGGTCTCTTAAGGGAAACAATCAGAAAAGATTGATGTATATCTCTCGGAAGAAATGAAAATTGTTATTCTTCTCAATGAACAAAAACATTGAAAATATTTATATGTTGAACAAACACAGCCTTTTGAATGTGAAGAAATTATGTCCGAACAGACATAACCTTCCAAAGATTGCAAGAGAGCATAATTACCGTTAGGCAGAAAATAAAATTCGAAATTAAATTATTAAAAAATAACCGACACTCGATTGCGAATAGTCACACTATTTCAATAGGATAAAACAGTTATTTTATAATAATAAATTCAAAATTTAATAAATAAAAAATAATGATTGTTGATTAGTGCCAAATCTCATCCAGGTGCGCACTCACTTTCTTTCGATGTGGGATAAGGCACCTCATTGTTTGTTTTATAAACAAACCACCAAAAGTATCATGTCAAGTCATTGACGTCGAATGATAAATTTATCCATTATATTATAACAAGTTGTTAAAAAAAAAGGGTTAATACCACGAAAAACCCTAAACTGGTACACTTGTGACACATTTACCCCAAACTATTTTTTTGACCATAAAAAACCTCAAACTGGTACACTTATGACAATTTTACCCTGAACTATTTTTTTGATCATCAAAAACCCCAAACCGGTACACCTATGACAATTTTACCCTGAACTTACCACAAAAAACCCCAAACTGGTACATATGTGACAATTTTACCCTGAATTAAAATTTTAATATTTTTATTTTTTTCAAATTTTTATTTATTTTATTTATTTTTTCCTTTTATTTTTTTTTCTTCATCTTTAACCTCTGGCCGGTCACCGGTCCGGCGACCGGCCAGAGGCGGAAGCCGGCGAGGGCCGCCCTCGCCGGCGTCGGGCGAGGGCCGCCCTCGTCGGCGTCCGGCGAGGGCGACCCTCGCCGGTATCGGGCGAGGGCTTCCCTCGCTGCGTCGGCGAGGCCGCCCACCGGCGTCGGGCGAGGGCTATCCTCGCCTACCAAGGCGAGGGCGACCCTCGCTCGACGCGAGCGGGGCGGCTCCTCGCCGACGCAGCGAGGGCCGCCCTCGCGCGGCGTCGGCGAGCGACCCTCATCCGACGCCGGCGAGGGCCGCCCTCGCTAGATCCGGCGAGGGTCGCCCTTGCCGAGTCAAGCAAGGGCGGCCCTCGCCAGCAGCTGCCGAGGGCGACCCTCGCCGGCTTCCGCCTCTGGCCGGTCGCTGGACCGGCGACCGGCCAGAGGTTGAAATTGAAGAAAAAGAAAAGAAAAAAATAAAAATTCAAAAAAATTAAAAATAATATTAAAAATTAGTTCGGGGTAAAATTGTTACATGTGTACCAGTTTGGGGTTTTTTGTGGTATGTTCGGGTAAAATTGTTACATGTGTACCAGTTTGGGGTTTTTTGTGGTATGTTCGGGGTAAAATTGTCACAGGTGTACCAGTTTGGGATTTTTTATGGTCAAAAAAATAGTTTGGGGTAAATGTGTCACAAGTATACCAGTTTAGGGTTTTTCGTGGTATTAACCCTAAAATAAAATCTCCTCCACCCGATAGATCAAATCTTCCTTTCTTAATATAAAATATAAAAAAAAATTCTTCCTTGACGAAACTATAGATTTCAAAGATTAATTTATTGCCTCTGCCTTTATTATCAACCCTCTATCACCGCTAAAGCCAACAACCAACGGCGGCAAATGAGTTACCGAGGTTCTTGTCCAGAGGTTTGCATTTTCCTTTTCTGAGTATATAATTTAAATAACCATTTTAAATAATAAATAAAAATATTATCGTTTTGTTGTTTTACGTGCTTCCCGGTCTCTCCTCTGTTTCCTTCTCGTCTGGAGAGTGTAAACCTCAAAAACCCAAAACCCTCCGCTCTCCTCCGTTTGATCTCCGTCCAAGGACAATAGCGCCAGAGGCCGCGTGAAGTCTCCTCGTTCTAATCGAACTTTTTCTGTAAATTTTCTGTAAAAAGTCTCCACCTTGGTTTGGCTTCATGAAGTTGGTAAGTCTCTCTCTTTAACTGGCGTTGTTCTTATGCGCCTCCTCTTTGTCAATCGACGTATCTGGTGCTTACATTCAGCTTAATTTTGAGTTTGGAACATACCCTTTTGTGCAGACATGCTTGAGCAGAGGTAAAGGGTTCTACTTTCCCCCATGTCACATGCTGAGCGTCTGTGGGTTTAGGATCTTGATTGACTGTCCCCTGGACCTGTCTGCTCTCGCTGTTTTCGCCCCTATACCTCCCGGATTTTCTGCTGCGCAAGATGAAGAGGGTTTTGAACATTCAGTTGATGAATCCGATGGCTGTGAATCTGGGAATCAAGAGGGGAAGGATATGGAGAAGCCCATGAATGCAAAGGCTTTGATTCGTTCCGAACCGTGGTACAAAACGGTGACGAACCTGCACTTGTGGAACCTCTCTTTCATCGATGTAGTGTTGATCTCGAGCCCCGTTGGGATGCTCGGGTTGCCGTTTCTTACTCGAGCTAAGGGCTTCTCGGCGAAGGTAATCTTTGTCCTCATTGATTGAATTTGGAGTGAATTGTACTTATATGGTTTAGTGTTAGTTTAATTATCGCTTGGTCTTGGGCTTGTGCATTAAAAGATTGTAACTTGCTTAAAGATTCGTGCTTGTACCTTAGGTATATGTAACCGAGGCGGCAGCGAAACTTGGGAAACTTATGATGGAGGACCTTGTTTCAATGCATGAGGAATTCAGGCAGTTTTATGGACCTGAAGAATTCGGTAGTCCTCACTGGATGAAGTGGGAGGAGCTCGAATCACTTCCTTCTGCATTGAAGGAGATAGTATTGGGCACTGATGGGATCGAGCTTGGTGGATGGATGCCATTGTATAGGTAAGGAACAACCTTTGTAGTAGTACTGTTTTATAGCTAAATCCCATACAAGATGTGGCTTGATAGTTTATCATGGCTGAGATCCTCGTTGTAACTATCTGCAAAGCACAAATACTAGTTTTTTTTCTCTCAGCCCCTCCCTTAGTCAGGATAGAGCCCAAACATTTTAATGGGCTGTCGGCTTGGTGTGCCTTTATAATATGCTTTAATCTCCCGAGATCCAGATTAATTTTTGATGTTGGGAATTATGTCCTGCAGCCAAGGCTTAAAATGCCTTTTCTTGTTAGATAAATTTCTCGATAGGTTATGCATCTCTAAATTAAATGTGGGAAGGCTCACATCTTGAGCTTAGAAGCTTCAGCCATTGAAGATTATGAAATATTGGTATCCTTGCATCTTCTGAGTTGTGATCGCGCATGTTGCGGATTACATCTTACTTTTATTCCTAGAAACTGCATTTTCATTTGTTTGATAACCTTTTAAGAGATAGTGATGAAGAGTGCCTCTCAGTGCAGCTGACATAGAGGATTGTGTTAAGAAGGTTCAAAAACTCAAATATGCGGAAGTGGCATGCTACAATGGCACAATAAGTATCAAACCAATCAGCTCCGGATTGGAAATAGGAGCCTCTAATTGGACAATAAGATATCCGGATGGAACGATTGGATTTGTCTCGAGCTCTGAATTTGTTCCTGGTCATGCTTTGGAGTTTAATTATAACGCTCTTCGATCATGCGATGTGCTAATATATTCAGATTTTTCATCTCTGGATGTCCTGGAACCTGCCAACAAGGGGAGTAATCACACTGCTCCTGAGGATTCTTCAACTTCGAGGTAACCCGTTTTATTGAGTATATCTCCTCTTGGGTCGTGAATATTATGACCAAATGCAGGGTTGTACAGCGTAGTACCATTTGATTCTTCCAGCTCTTCATTTTTTCTAATACTGTAGCTTTGACACTTGGCATCTATGAAATTAAGCTGTGAGTTTACTGTGATGAAACCAGTGATCTGGAGGAGCTCTTACTTCATGCTGACGAGAGCTCAGAGGAAACGGACAAATTGAACTTTATATGCTCCTGTGCAGTTGATGCTGTTAAAGCCGGTGGTTCAGTACTCATTCCTATAGGACGACTTGGAATCATCCTACAACTCTTGGAGCAGATATCTATTTGCCTGGAATCATCACATAATAAGGTATTCCATTGGTTTGCATCTAAAATTTATACTGTGACATCGGTCTTCTCTTGCTTCAGTGGATATCAGATAAAGCTGATGCTACAAGCATCAAGTTCGAATTTCACTTGAATAGAACTTACTGATGGTGATCAAAAAGCCCGAACTATTTGTGTTCCTACGCAAGAAAATCACCTAGACCAAATTTTTTTTTTTTAGGGGATGATGGAAAATCACCTAGACCGAGCTATATGCTTATGTTGATTCCTTTAGTTGCACCTTCAAAAAAGTCAGGTGATCGATTAGTATGCTATGTTTAAACCCGCTGCTAAAACCCTGAACAAGCTATAATCACTCTAAATTTGGCACTTTGTCCACATTGGATGCCCTGAGCATGTCTTCATCTGGTTGGGATTTGATGGTATTAGTTAGTTTGATTGGCTGTTGCCACTTAACTGTATAACAATTTAACTTGATGAAATTGCTGATTCTGCAGATTGTATATTCAGTTTACTTGTTTCGCTTGTGTGTTGAGTTTGACAATGTAAAAATGTGAAAACTCCTTTTGCACTTTCGAACAGCAATGTGATCTTAAGCTTCAGAACCACAGAGAGCAACAAACGTAATCCTCCTTTTGTTTTCCTGGATAAAAATCATTGGCTGTAGTCAACCTGGTAGTGTTATCTCCTAGGTGATCATGCAGTTTTAGTTTCAGGATTTTATTTTTTGCAATTGCTTTTGCGAACTAGAGTTCTGGTCGCTCTCACTGCTGCAAGTGAAGTCTATGTCCAATGTACTTCCTGGATGAGATATTCCAGAATGAAAAAGGCAATCAATATTTTCGGGAAAATGGTTCTTCAGAGTTCTTTGTCTTATAACTAAAAAAAGTCCTTGTAATACCTTTTTTTGTCTCTCCATAGGTTCCCATATTTGTTATCTCGTCGGTAGCAGAAGAGTTATTGGCATATACCAACATAATACCTGAGTGGGTGTGCAAACAAAGGCAAGAAAAGGTATGTTAATGAGGGCACATGATTTATATATGTAGGAAGTCTCCAACTGATCATTTACATCCCTACTAAAAGCAGATTTTTTGTTGATTTTATGTCCTTCACAGTTGTTCTCTGGTGAGCCATTATTTGCACATGTTGAGCGTTTGAATGGAGAAAGGCTGCAAGTGTATCCTGCAATTTACTCACCTAAGCTATTGTACGATAATCTTTTCTTTTGACTGTGCAACTTGTCACCTAATCGTATCTTCTGATAGCTGTTAGAATGTGCGCAGACTTCATTGGCAGGAGCCGTGCATTGTATTTTGTCCTCACTGGAGTTTGCGACTTGGCCCGGTTGTTCATTTGCTCAGACGTTGGCATGGGGATGAAAGATCATTACTCATCTGGGAGGTGCTAATATATTCTCTCACTCATCTAACAACAAAAAGTGCTTCTCTCTTTCTAATTTTTCAGCGAATAAAACCATTCAACAAGCAGAACATTTTGTTCAATTTGCAGGAGGGCATGGATAGTGATATAGCTCTCTTGCCTTTTGATCCGAAGGAGATGAAGATGAAGGTCCTTCGATGTTCGTTTCTTTCGGGAATAGTGTAAGGATCATACTTTAGCTATTTCGCCTTTTCTTCATGAGACTATAAGTACTCCACCGGTTCAATTGCTTTGCATTCATGCATGTCCATTAACTATCAAAATATTATGCTTGCACGTTTTATGTAATGGATCGGCCTCACTTGTAGGTTGAAGAAGGTTCAACCTTTAATCCACGTATTGCAACCGAAGTTTGTTGTGGTAATATCACCTAAGCTTCCATACATTCTCTTTCTGATGATGGTACTTCAGACCGATGACTTCTCTGTTCTTGCATTTTCTGTTGAAGATAGTTACCTGAAGATTTTAGGCAGCAGATCATATCACCAATAGCAGACTCATCATACTCAGTCCTTCACTACTCCGTGAATGAGACGTTAAAGCTGCCTACCCTAAAGGAAGGTTCAGAACTAGAAATCACAGCAGACTTGATCTCACGATTACATTGGAAAAACTTGAAAGACCAAAATATGAGCATCACAAGATTGAAAGGAAACCTCGTCATGAGTGATGCCAGAAGGCAGATTCTACCTAGCGACGAGCTGCCATGCTCAAAAAGTGAGCCCCTGTTGATTTGGGGGGCTCTAGATTTGCGAAGGCTCCTGGCTCGTTTATCAGAGATGGGTATTGGCGGAGCTCTTCAAGAAGACAGTGTTACAGATGGATCGAGCGATGCTTGTATCTTGCACATCGACACTCCTAGTGAAGCTTTACTTGAAATTAGAAGCGCAAGCACTTCAATCGCTACTGCGAATGAGGAGTTGGCCTTCGGCATTCGGGATGCTGTGAACAGCATCCTGGATGGTATTTGATCTCGTGTCTTCTTTGTACTCTCGACTTACAAATGAGCTAACCGAAGAAGCTGCTTCCGGCCAGCCATAATGGTGTTGGGGATTAGATTATTGCTGGAATGTTTTGATGTAAAGTTTGGAGAGCAAGAGATATGCTGAAAGCAGCATGCGCTTATCTTTGAGTGGACCATAAGTCAGTGTGGAATCATAGAATGTTTTGCTGAACACGCCATAGCAGACTGGTTGAAATATGAAAATCAAAGATCCGGCAATTTGGTTTCCTTCGGGTCATCTCGTTGCTCAAACCGTGCCCGGATCCAAATATAAGTACCGGTCTCGATTGAATCTTAACTTAAACCCGAACCTTCTCCTTAAAGTTTTGGCAATTCCATTTGATCGTCCCGATATCATCAATATATTGTTAGGACACTTCAGACGCGAAACAGCCCTCATAATTCCCGGATCTATGCTCATAGGTACTCTTTTCGATGTTACGAGCGTCATGCGGATTATTGGACGCATTGCAATACTAGCTCCGACTTGACCTATGGACGAATATGCGAGCGTATAACGATGGAAATGAGTCGAGACTAATCAAGTTCTCAATCTAAACCTCAATAGGTCCAAATGCGGGCTCAATTTTAGGTTTGGGGTCCTATGCAGAAAGTCCTGCCGGGCGCGAGACGTATAGGATTCACTTGGTAAATCTCCCAACGCTGGGACCCAGTTGAATTAACTACGCTACTTAAATCGAAAACATTTTGTAATTTATAAGACATGAGGTTACTTTTTTTTTTTTTTGATTTCGTCGCACTTCAAATCGAAAACACAAACCTCCTCTCTTGAATGTGAAACTTTTATAGTTCATCATCAGTTTAAAACATTATGTTAGGCCGAGTCGAGTTTCGTTTTTGACGGGTTTGGCGGAGGTTTCAGATTCGCTCGTTTGACTAAGTTCGGATTTCAATGTTTAAAGGAAAAACGACACAAACAGTTATTGAATTTTGGCTCAATATGCAATATCGCCCCGAACTTTTAATTTGTTCAATATAATTCTTGAACTTTCAGCACGTGTTCATTTTAATCCCAGACTAAATTGAATTCAGGAATATAATAATTTAGGGACTAGATTGCATATTTATCAAATATTCATGAGTTACATTGGATAAATTAAAAGTTCAAGAACGATATTACACATTAAGCTAAAATTTAGGGAGTGTATTGAATAGATTATAAGTTCAGGATCGATATTGCGCGTTGAGTATAAGTTTTATGGACCGTTTATGCAATTATCTCAGTGTTTAAACTTGGGTCGGGTTGATTTTATCGGGCTAGACCCACGGATCCTGGTCATTCGGATTCCTTGGAGTCGTCTCCGACGAACGAACAGAGAACAGAAAAACGTCCTCGGAACGTTGGACAGATCAATCGGACAGTTCCGTTCGTCTTCTTAGCAAATCCGACAGACGAAAAAGGTCCCTCCTTTGCATCCCAGGGATGCGAAATCCCCGTGTCCCTAGGGTTCCCCGATCGGTATCTTGATCGAAGTCGAAAGCCCCCTCCTCGCTCATCGCTTCCCCCTCTGTACATTCGATTCGCGGGGAACGAGTTTTTGACTTCGTCGATAAGCGTTGATTCATGGGGAACTTGTTCGTGAAGAAGCCCAAGGTCACCGACGTCGATAAGGCCATTCTGTCTCTCAAGACCCAGCGGCGCAAGCTGGGTCTGTATCAGCAACAGGTTCCTCTTTTCTTCCTTTTCGTTCTTTGAGCTTTTTTGGTGCGTGCCCCCGATTGATTTTCTCGTTTCTTCTTGGTTTTTTTGTTCCTGGTTCGCTGGTTCTTGCATTTGAATTGTCAATTCTGATTCTTTTGCTTATGGTTAATTGACAAATTGGGCAACGATTAAGGGTTTTGTAGTGTTTGAACTGAGGTGAATGGGATTGATTTCGTTCCTCTTTGAGTTTCGGCTGACGGTTAGATGATTTTTTTGGGTTTTGATGATTCGTTTTAATGAGGGATTGTGCATGCCCGTTTGAAGTTCTGTTTCTGTTCTTTATTCGATTTCGTTGCACAATCTTCTCTGTAATGCACGTTGGACTCGGTTTGGTCCAATTAAGCAGTAACATAAATAATGTGGTCGAATTGCTTCATGGGTGCTTAGTAGCTAGTATCCATTTTGGATTAGGATTAGAAAATTTGTGTTGCTTCCAGTATCGCGAAATTGGAATTATTGGGTGAGATCATTCACCATGGCATGGTGATTTTGTCAACTCCTTTTGCTGTCGTGCTGTTTCCAGCTCGAGGCTGTCATTGAAGCTGAAAAGCAAGTTGCTCGGGATCTGATCAAAGAAAAGAGGAAAGACAGGGCATTGTTGGCGCTGAAGAAGAAAAAGGCACAGGAAGATTTATTGAAACAAGTGGATGCATGGGTTCTTAATGTTGAGCAACAGGTAAATCTCTTCTTCTGTGCATCGCTTCTTTGGCAAAAGGGTTGCCTCCTTTTTTTAAATCTATCCAGTTTGTGGCTTCTGACATGCTGTCAACTTTATGATGGTCACAATTCTTGCCATTTATATTGAATCGCGTGTTCAGCTGGCAGATATCGAACTCGCAAGCAAGCAGAGGGCCGTCTTTGAGAGCCTAAGGTCTGGGACCGAAGCAATCAAAGCAATTCAAAGCGAAATCAACTTAGATGATGTGCAAAAGCTAATGGATGATTCTGCCGAAGCAAAAGCTTATCAAGATGTGAGCCATTCTCAATTTTGTCTCTCTTTTTTGCTTTCTCATGGATGTCATCATAGTTATTTTTAAACCCGTACAGGAGTGGTCATAGTTAAAAGAGATTTTCTCTGAATAACACAGTCTCTCTTCACATGTTTACAACGCTCTAATTGTCATGTCAGAAACAAATTAAGTTCAGTTGTTCTGAAATAGAGCCGGGGCAATTTTTCCATCTTTTTTATTTCTCTCTGTCAGAGAGCCAAGTTCTAATTGCTTCCCTTATATAGGAGTGCTGATACATGTTCACTGTAACTAACATTAAGTTTAATGAGATGGCATGAAAGAGTATTTAGAGTTAGTGTGAAGCGTGAAGTGCACAGGCTTATGTGGTGACTAGGTCTTTGTTGGTATGTTGGCTTTCGCAAGGGGCTAGGGGTGGACCTCGCGATGAGCTTTAGAGATAGCTATTTGCTCCGCCACTTGAGATGGTTAATTTTAAGAGATGTCTTTCTGTATGTCCATAGGCGTATGCTTCTTTTCTTTGGCTAGATATTGGCTTTGCCATGCTTTGGTAATATTCTTACATAGTTATATGCATTTGCTTGAGTTTAGCTGTGTCTTCCAATGTGTTGCAAACGTGTCAGATAACAGTAGCATTGAACCTCTTTGCATCAATGCATAACTTTCTGTTGCTTTTTTCTACCTTTGGGCATCTTTTTCCCAAACAGAAAAATGAAACTTGAGATGCATTACTGATAAGATTTTCTCTTAACATTTAGGAAATTAATGCAATCTTGGGAGAGAAATTATCGGCAGAAGATGAAGAGGAGATTCTTGCAGAATTTGAGACTTTGGAATCACAGGTACGCTTGGTTCCCACTGGAGGCATCTTTGATTTCCAAGTAATCCTACTTCTAGTCTGACTATCCTATTTCAAGTAAGCATTTTAGGTTATCTGTCTCGTGAGGGAAAACCTGGTTTTTATTTTCTGATGTCATTTTGACGACTACCTTATAGAAATGCCACATTCAAAATATAATATCTGTTGCCTTTGCAGTTATTACTTAGAGCTGAATGTCAAGTACTTGAATAAGATATAATACATTTTTGTTATTTTTTGCCTGTTGTTATGTTATGTGATTTATTAAATACTTGGGAAAGGATCATTTCTTTCTTCCTCCTGTTCTTTGACCAAAAATTGAAGCTTTATGAAATTATGATATGTTCTTTTTGTGTTCCCATGAAGAATAACCTTTATCACTTTAATTTAGATAAATCCAATGGAATAACTTATCATGCAAGACGTGCATCTACTATGAAGAGAGTTTTAGCTTTTCCTTTGAATATTAGGATTGCTATTTGGGGGAGAAAAATTTTTACCTTCAAGTTTCTGTTGGATGATTTGATGTAAGATAGTTTTATTTTGTAAGATCCTTCAGGTTGCTTGGATTCACAAAACCTCATTCTTTTAATTAGTTATGTTGTGAATCACTTTTTTTTGCTATGTCTCCATTCTGGATTTTGATCTGATTAGGCATATAAAATATATGCAATGAACTATTGGATTTTTTCATTTGACAGTTTCAGATGGTTGTTCTGAGATGTTCTGTATTCAGAATCTAGAAGAAAATATGATTTGGCTGACGACAGAGGAAACTTTTTTATTGTAGATTGCTATCCAAGATATGCCTGAAGTTCCTCCAACAGCTCCAACTCCGGAGGTAGTTGAAGAGACAATTGACCTTCCTGAGGTGCCAAAGAAAGCACCTGTGGCTGCCAATGCTGCTGTAGATGATGCCGAAATTGCCTCCAAAAGAAAGGGTCTCTCTCTCTCTCTCTCACACACACACACACTGTGAATGCCAACTTGCTTGATTTGTTTTTTTACTCGGCAGTTATGGCAAGTATTGATGCACATCTTTTACTTTGAAACAGTTTTGGAGGAACCGCTGCCTGCTTGAATTCAGCTTGAAACAACATTACCATCTGCTGATTCCTGGTGTTCCTATCGACTATTCCTGTTGCCCACTTTGTATACTTTTTATGTTAACTGACAGCAATTCGATTGGATTTTCTGATTCATGTAAATCTCAGTTTGTCTTATATTGGAAAATACGGAATTTTTTGCCATGCAACTAACATACATTCTTTTGACTCTTGGTGCTGCTGGATTTCTCATGTCTTTAAGTTTCTCCTCTGTCCCTTGTTCGGCTTTCCAAGAATGCCCAAATCGGAACTATAGTTATGATTTTGATCTCCACGTGCAGATGTTTGTATTCTGATTTCATTTTTCTCCAGAAGATGTTTTTACATGATTTACGCCGACCAATTTGGTCATCAAACTCATTATTTATTTTGATGAATGAGTGATTCTCTCTGATGATGGTTTTTTGTCAATTCGATATGTAGTTTCTCTTTGTGTTCCCCAGGACGCAATATAGGGGCCTTTGGATGTAACAAAATTGTTGCACCGTTGTTATGTGGCAGAAAGCAAAGTAAAACAGTCAGCCATTCTGCTCAATTGAATAATTCTCCTTTCCTGGCATATTGGTGCTTGTTTTGAAGATGATTTTCCATCTTTAATCGAAGTTATCATTCTTAGATGCAGTTGAGGTTTGTATAAACTCCATTGCAAAGTTTAAAGGGAGTAGAGGGAAATCATTCAGCAACACAGAATTGTCTGAAGGGAGTAAAAGTGGACAACTCGGTGATGAGCTTCTGTGGATCGTTCCGCTTCATCATGGCTGAATACAAAATGCAGTTGTCGACCAACGCGATCAAAGACGCATTGTTCTTGCTTAGCGAAACACAGAGAAATTGTTTGCTGTACTCTGGAAGAGTTGAATCTGAACCTAACTCATGTTCAAGGCATGTGCGTCATGAGTTCATTTTCAGAGAAGTAAACCCGGATCCTTAAAGAGATTTCACTTGACTTAAAAGGTACCTGCCGTATTCATTAGCCATCCGTTTGATTTAATCCGATGCTCATTTCTCTCCCATTTTCTTAGCATCATCAATTCTAAAAAGAGGAATCTCAAACGAAATAGACGAGAAAGACAGGCAATTTTCGACTGTCGTTAAACATGGGGCTCTTAATACAAATGCTTTGTGACAGAACTCTCTTACTGGGGGAATATGGAAAAGTAATTCCCTCCAAATTCTTTCATCTTAGCATTGATGGTCTATATGGTGGTTTGTGGGTGAAGGTGTCCGAGCCCAGCTTTGGAATTAGCTTTGGCGGTCTTTCTAAAATTGCACGATCTACACTGTTTGTAAGCTACTCTGAACACGAACCATAGATTACAATTCAACTTACTTCCTTTTTGAGTTTGAGTAGCTGTAGTGTCAAAATCTTGGGTGGTGGCTAGAGCTTAACATCCCAAGGCCTCATCCTCATCAACTAGTTCATTTTGCGTGGCAAAAAGAAACTTAACTTCTGGGTTCGCGACATCCGTATAGGCTCATTTTCTCATTGTCGTGTTTCAGTTGCTTCAGATAATGTGATCATTTTCGCCCAATAATCATGTGTTTCAGAGGGTTTTGTCATAACCCCTAATCAGAGTAACCTGAGAGCACAGCCATATTTCTCAGGATGTCCCGAGAATGTAAGAGAAATAGCTTTTGTGTGGTATTGGCTATAGAAGCTAGTCCATTTTCTCTCTGTGATCTTCCAACCAGATTCCTGAGAAACTTTTATTTCTTGTCTGCAAATATCAATTTGAACTTTGCCAAAATGCAAACTGAAAACACTAAGATGCTTGTGTTGATCTTTACAATATATAGTAGTTCCTATTATAACGGTTAAAATAACATACCTGACTCTTTCAAGGACCACGACAAGAGGAGCCCACACTACTAAAGCGGCACTGAAGGAGCTAAATTGGTAATTGCAATGACAGAAGCTGTCATGCCTTTGATACAAAAAGAATCATCCCCATCCAAGGAGATCTAAAAATCACCTATCAATTCAAACTTGCATTGGTACGACAGCCAGCTAAAACTTCCCTAATCCAATCCAAATGCGCATAAATTTCCTAGGTCTGCCTTTGCCTGTCACAAAGAAGAGTAAGTGCATTTTAGTCGCTTATCCATCCAAAACCAGAAATATCCTCCATTCAACTCCATAAATTGCCATCCTTGTGAAAAACAGGGGATATGATTGAATAGACGATCTATTAAAGAATATCCAATCTTAGCCATGAGAGAATGAGCAAGATGTACAGTGCATGATGATAATGATGCTTTAATTTGCTTCATGTTGAAGGAAATTTCTTTAAGAAAGAGTAAGGTAGTCAGAGTCATATCATCAATTTGGCTGAATGTCAAGTGATAAGAAGTGAGACAGGACAGCCCACGCATCAATTGTCCAAGAACAATTCAAGGCAATCTCAGTGATAATTATACAGGCAGTTGATCATAAATTTAGAAGTAGAGATTTATTAAAACCCAATAAAGAGCTCAAAATTCAAATTTACTGATAAGGTGAACCAGAACAGGATTCCATCAAACTATAGACAGGGGTGATTCATACCTTGGTGATGACAGGCAATTTGAAGCGTTTGAGAAGCCAGCAAACACATTTGAGTATGACTTGGTCAAATATGTGAAGTTGGCGATTGCAGGTAGAGCAGGCACGCGTTCACCTTTCTTTAAGAGGTCTTGTAAGTTAAGTCTCTGCAAGGTCAAGACGGCCCTTGACTCCTTCCAAATGAAGGCGATTAGACCATTATGCAATACATAGAGTGAACCCGGCTTTGCACCGGGATATCTAAAACCATAACCATTTGCAATGCCCTCCCCAACGAAAGCATGATCTGTAGTGACAGGGAGGGCGTTAGCATCACTACTCCAAGGAAACGGATCTGGTGATGGCTGATCTATATTGGCAATAAACATCGCCGAACCGTTTGGATGAAGAACATAGTGGGTGCCTTCTAATATTTTGGTTGCAAGGAGATAGTGCTGACCCTGGGACTCCTCATAAGAGAGAATGAGAAGGAATAAAGCCTTCCCAGGTTTATCTTCTGTAGGCTTCCCCGGAGGCCATCCAAATGTCCCACCCCACAAACCAGCATATTCTTGGTCAGGTTTTGGGAGCCTCAGCGGTAATTTGTAAAGGGCAAAACGACTGTCATGCATATTTGGCCATGCTCGATATGATGATAACTTGACAGTGGATGCATTCAACGTTAATCCAATCATATCACCGGATCTCAGAAACTCATGAAGCTGCGCGTGCTTACTCTCACTACTTGAAGAACTATTTCTCATAACTGCATGGCCGCCGCCATTAAACGAGATAGACTTCCCGAGGATCTGCTTTATGCCATACCTAAAATACCCACCGAGTGTTTTCTTTTTGGCGCATTGTCCAAGAGCATTGTCGCTATTGAAAGAATTGATAGTGCCGCTCGATCGGTCAAGACTCTTCCTGATTTCACTCAACCCCAGTTGAGTCAGATCAGAAGGTATTTCTGGACACGAATCACTCTGCCCTCCACCAAACTTACAAGATTGCATTTGAATTATTAAGGATCTCCGCTCATTCAGGAGCAGCATGTCTTTCCGAAAGTTCTCATCATCATCCCTCAGACGGGCAAAGAGAGGCCCACCGGCTGAGTTGGGCACCTTTTGACGCACCTGGTTGGTTACAACCTCGAGCAACTTTCTTCTGTCACAGAAGGCCAGCCTGCTGAAGGGCACCTTCGTCTCATTCTGTTCTAATGCCCTCTGTGACCTCGACAATGCACTGTCTGACCTACAGATCTTGCTTGAATCTGAGTACCGAACAAAGCTCTTGCTGTGCGCCAATTTACCCGCATTCTTTTGAAACCTCGGTTCCACCTCAAGCAGCAACACATTGCAGTTCCTATCTATATGTCTAAGAGATCCGGGATAAACATAGTCGATTCCCTTCTCCCTTCCGTGCAGGAAAAACGAAGCAGAACCATCAAAATCCCCGATGACTTCGAAAACCGGCGCCCACAATATAGGGCCATCTTCAATCCCCAATGGCCCCAATTCTTGCGGGATTATCCGGCACCCGACGACCGAAACAAACCCCGGCATGACATAAACCACATTACCGAGCTCGGGATTCTGGTGAACCCAAATTCCAATCAGCGGCTGGACGCAGAAGAGAAAGCGGCAGAGCGCCTTATACGACGACACCCCCTTCCTCCATTCGATCAAATCTCTGTGGGGGATAACCCCCAGCGCATCACACTGGGCGAGCCAGACCTTCTCGGATTGCGCCACAACATACAAGCTCTGGCAGCACAGGCCGAGATTACACAAATCCCTCGGCGACAGGGACTGGGACACGATGGCCAGGACGTCATCAGGGAGAGCTTGGAACAAGCTCGGATCATAATCATCAGACACCATGACCCAAATGAACCGACCAATCCAGGGGCACGGCACACACACACAAGAAAAAGGAATCACCAATTCAGCTACGAATCTATCACTACACGCACGAATCGGACAAACCCATCCACACCCACTTCCGAACTCGCAGATCAACCGACAGAAATGACCTCAACAACAACTACACAGGCCACGCGAACAGAGCTGGAAAAATGGGCCACGAGTCCTCAGACCTCAGAACCTTCACTTCAAGCACGAAAGCGTGGAAACCCACATCAAATTTTCAGCGTCGCTCACCGAATCTGTCGAGCTCGAGCATGCTTGAGAAGGAGGAGGAGGAGGAGGGGGAGAGGAGAATCCATCATCAGTGAGGGACCTCCGAACGAGGAGTACAACACAAGGCGCATGTGCGGAGGAGATGCGACAAAAGACTGCGAGACGAGGCGGGGGTCAAGTCATCGCCACTGACATCGCAGCCCCCAACTCTTTTACTTTCCCCTTTCTTTCTTTTTTTTTTAATATCACGAAAAATTCTTAATCATTTAATTCACGCGAAATTAATTTTTTGATCATCAAAAATTATGAATCGATAAAAATTTTTTTACCCTCCATTAAATTAAATTAATATCACGAAAAATCACATACTGATAAATTTGTATAAAACCTAAACTGACACACCCATCCACTACTGACATGTTTCATCTAAATTAGCAATTTAATTGTAAAATTTAACAGAAACTAACAGAGGATAAATTTATCACAAGTATATTAATTTGAGATTTTTTATTATTAATAAATTTATCTTGAATTAATTTTTTAATAATAAAAAATCTCAAATTAATATATTTATGATAAATTTATCATAAATATATTAATTTAAAATTTTTTGCCGTATTAACTTTTTTTTTTCTCGATTATGGGTGAAAATGGTGGACTAAAATGGAGAATAATCGCAGTGTTTGAAAAAGACTCCGTTTTTTTATTTTTTCTTGGACGGCTTTGGAGCCGTCGCTGTGTCCCTTTCGTGCGCGCCGGGCGACTTCCGGACAGGAAACGGAGAAGCTTGTAGGCAGGTGATGTTGAACGTGATGCCGACGAGAAAAGTCCATTTTGTCCTGGGAGGAGGCCATTTGGAGATGTTGAACGTGATGCCGACAAGAAAATATCCCGAAAGATCTCAAATCAACACTTACCTATTATATTCACCCTCAAATTAATTTCCGTATTACGCAAAAATCTTAAATTGGTATACACGTGTCCCATTTACCTTAAATTAACTTTTGTATCATAAATAAATTCCAAATTGATTTACCGGTGCCGTGTTTAATTGCCAACGCGAGAATACACGCGGCATCGGCGTGAGTCTCCAAAACGATATCGTTTTTGGGAAACCAAATGTGAAGACAATTTACCGAGGCGGGAGAATCTATCAATTTTGCCCTAAGATAGCTTCCTCACGTCTCAAAAAATCTGCTAAAATCCCTAGCTTCTGCCTTACTATTCCGGTAGATTTGCCATGGGAACAAGAAAATTAATTCGAGGTAAAACGCGGCACTTCAGTACCACCAGTTTGTGACTTTTTTTTACGTAAGAAAAAAAAAATGAATTTAGGGTTTTGGGATTTTTTTTTTTCCGATATTAATCACATCGTATTATAGGGAGACGTCGAAAAAGATCTTGTCCGAAGGCGGAGGGCAAAAGCGTCCGTGGAGTGGAATATGTCGTTTGTGGGCCCACCACGGTGGGGCCAGCTAGCGACTGAAATGATTAGTGGGGAATTCTTTAAGGTACATTATTATTATTATTATTGGGATGCGTACTTTATAATAATAAGGAAAAAAAAACACCGCAAATAAAATTCAAATTACGCCCATCGAGACGTATTCATCTTAATTTTTTCTGACACCGAAACTCCCGAACACGTATCAAAGTGACGTATTTATTCTCCGTCAATAAGTACCGATAAAAATCTGCCTCCACAGACGACGGAAGGCAAACGGTATTGATATGGCGTCTGTGCGATTTAAGTGAAATAAAAAATGACTTCATTTGGTTGGGAATATCATCCGATGGAGACTTAGTGGAGATTGAATGTATCATACGGATACGAGTTTGAAGATTTTGGTGCGGTAAGTATAATTTGAGATTTCTTATGTCCCAAAAGAAATTCAAAGTAAATATATCGTTAATGGACCTAATTTAGATATGTTGTAAAGTAATTGTTGTGACATGTTGCGTTATTTTTTATATTTTTTATTATGGCGACACGAGAACCAATGGATCGTGAAAGTGTACGTAGGGCTCGAGGAAGAAACTTGGAATTTTCGTGTCAAAGTGGTGATTATCGTAGCAGATTAGATGTTCATTTTTTTAATGAGTTAACTTGTGAGCGATTGATTGATTGATGGATGGATGCCAAGAATCCTCCAAGTTGGATATTTATTTGTGCTTTGCCTGTTTTTCTTTGATGGTTTGGTGGGTTCGGAACTTAGGGAAGAAGATTCAGGAAAAGAGCATTCGAAGAAGGGGAAAATTACACGGGCGGCTTTTTAAAACTTTGACCCGGTACGTGATATTATTTATGAATTTTTAATTTATTTAATATAGTATTTAAATTTTTACCAAATATGAAACGTAGTCCTTACATTTTTAATTTTTTCAATTTAGTCTCCGATATACATGAAAATGTTTAATGTAATCATTCTATTAATTCAAGTTTAAGCATTACATTAAATATTTTCATATGGTTCGGAAATTATATTGAACGTGTATCAAAAGTTTAGGCATTATATTGAACATTAAACCAAAATTTAGGGACCGTTCGTGTCTTTATCACTCCAGGAAATAAGGATGAAGTTGAAGGCGAACTTTTAGAGTCTTCGCTTGGCCAAATAATTTCTTCGGAAAATGTTCTCTTTGTTGCAATAGAAGGTGGGTATTGAGCTTTTGCTTCCTTTTTCTCTTTATTTTGGGCATATGTTCCGTTTTTTCCCCTTTCGGGTGTTCTTGGGAAAAGGAAAAATTAGTCAGAGAAGTGCAAACCATGCAGGAAATACGATCTTAGATGAAGGTGGCCCAAAAATAAATAAACGAAGATGAAATTGAGTTCTTTTGTTTGCTTCGAAAGAAATGGATCTTTATATTTTTCGCGTTACGTACGAAAAATATCTATCTATTGCTGTGTTATTATCGTCCTCGACACCCATTGAGTTTAAGGAGATTCACGCGCGTTTGAAAAAGAAATTATAATCATTGTCGGAAGGATCGAAACAACCACATTCGTAGGCCGGCAATTTTTCTCGATGGGTTGAACTATTGGAAGTAGATGGAAAATGAATAAAAGAAACTAGCAGGCTAACCACTAGGAACTAGGAAGAGGTTAGCCCTCGTAACTTCTCGCGTAATCAATCATGTTGTAAGGAATAGTCCAATGCGAACCAATTTCTTTCGGACTGCGAATAAAACTCACGAGAGATTTTGTTTAAAAAGCTCCTAACAAAAAAAAATCAACTCATAACGAGGGTCGGCTTATTTGAAGGAAAATCATTTTCACTAAACTATTTTCCAGCAATCTGATGTTTCGAACACGAAAAATTAATCAATTTACGGAGAACGTTTTTCATGAGCTCAAATTAACAAGATCAGATTGGGAGAGAAAAACGACTTCCTTTTATGGTAAAAAAGAGATCACTTTTTCTAATCTATCAAATGCATGAAAACTAGTGATTTTCATGAAAATATTTTCTTTTGTTGCGAAATTTTCGGCCAAACGGATGCACGTAAGAAAAACCTTCCATTTCCCCCCGCTTTATTTACTTTCAAACATGTGATGTTACACGAACTTTGTTTTGTTGGTTTATCTGCTCTTTTGCCAAGCCCAAAGCACACGTTTCGGCCGGCACAGAGCAAGCGAATTCCTTGTTCGGCCTTCATCCCCTCCATTTCAGGCCCAATTATTTTATGAAAAACAAAATATAAGTTTCTATGTCTTGGACGATTTGTACATGACTTTTTCAATCGGGCACTAGGCTCGGCTCGCCATCGATCAGGTCTAGTCTAGCTTGCCTGTAGCTTGCTTGTTTCTCGAGTATTGCCCATGTGTATTTCGTCATCAATTGCGTTATTAAAGAGGTGATTTTTCTGGCCACTCCTTATTAAAATGATCGATTAATTGGACATAAAGTGATCCGATGGCACGTATCTTGTTTGGAAATTTAATTGGCAAAATTTAAGAAAAAGCAAGTTCTTCGTGCCTAAGAATTAGGATAATTAAATAACACCTCGAAAGATTTTAGGAAGTAAATTGTATAAGTTTAAGGGAAAAATTACCAACAAAATCCTAAACATATCGCGCTTGCGATGATTCAGTCATAAATCTTTCAATTATGCTAATTGAGTCCTAAACCTCTTTTCACGTTTCATCAATTGAGCCTATCCGATCAATTTTGATCGGAAATTGTCCTATATGGCACAGTTAGCGGTCGACGCCGACGTGGATAATTTTTATAATATTTTTAAAAAATTCGAATTTTTTTAATTAGTTTTAGTTAATTTGACGGTGTATCCTAATTTCAAAAAATTCATTTTTATATTTCAAAGAAACATCTGACCATCCTCCACTGTCAGAAAGGCGGGAACCCCTCCCTCTCCTCGCAAAAGCGCAAAACCCCTCGAAATCTTCACAATTCGGGATCCCGCAGAACCGACTCCCCTTCATCCCTTCACCTCCGGCTCCCCCGTCGCTCCCCCCCACCGGAAAACCGCCGCCAGGGCCACCGATGTCCGGCGGCGGTCGCGCCCTCACCGTCCTGAACGTGGCGGAGAAGCCGTCGGTGGCGAAGTCGGTGGCCACCCTGCTGTCGAGGGGCCAGGGGATGCGGGTCCGGGAAGGGCGGTCGCGGTACAACAAGGTCTTCGAGTTCGACTACAGCATCCGGGGGCGGCACTGCCGCATGCTGGTCACCTCCGTCACCGGCCACCTCATGGAGCTCGATTTCGACGACCGGTTCCGCAAGTGGCACTCCTGCGATCCCGCCGTTCTCTTCGCCGCCCCCGTCCGCAAGGCCGTCCCTCAGGTGAGAAACGACAATGCCGCGCTTTTTGTTCACCCCGGCGCATGAAAGGCCGCCGAAAGTACTGATCTTTCTTATCGCGAACATTCGTGATTCAGACCACAAGTTCGTCTTTTTTTCTGATTATAGTTGGGGGAATGGCCCGTGGGTTGTATGTTTCTGTTTAATTCTTATGGAAACTACAGGACAAGATTGATATAAAGAGGACATTGGAAGAGGAAGCTAGAAGGTGCCAATGGCTCGTGTTATGGCTTGATTGTGATAGGGAAGGTGAAAACATAGCATTCGAAGTTATCGACATATGCACCGCGGCAAACCGTAATCTGACCATCAAAAGGGCTCGGTTCTCTGCTTTGATTGAG